GGGCCTTATCTCAGCGTTCGGGATCTCCGAACGGGTTTGCGTGGCCGTGACGGTAACGCAGGGTAGAAGACGGAATGGTTGTTCAGTAGCTCTTTCCCGAATACACGAGCTGCCTTGGAGCACCTCCCTGCAGGCCGGGATTGGGCCGAATAACCTTCCGTGAGCTGTGTGGCAACTGGTGTGCTCCCCTTGGTAGTACCTGTGACCAAGCGAACTGTCCGGGCTACGAAATTATGAAATAAGTTACTACTCCTTTCCGTTAAAAAGAATTTTAAAAGGTAGCTTGTTAGGACACCTCCGGCCTCACCTGGAAGTCGGACTGAAAGGGCCTCAGTTTGTGCCCAGGGCCTGGCCTGCGCAAACGCGCCTCATACAGCTCTCCTGACACCTTATGATCAAAAAACTTGAAAGTTGTCTTGAATTTTGTGGCGTGCAGTAGTTAGCTGCCGCGTAGAAGCGATTTCAGCATGCTCATTACATTTCGCCACGCTAGAATTCTCTGATTAATCTCTGTTTATTTGTGTTAACTGTGGTGCGGAGTGGTGCAGTGAACACGTCTAGGAAAACTGAAAACCAGCTGTGTCAAAATTTATGTTTTGTGTTGTAGAGGTGCAAATGTAACATTGCAGGCAGCGCTTTCATTGACAGCACCGTGATCCAACACCTTTAAGAGAAATGAACTATTTGCAAAGCAGCTCTTGTTGTTTCCCCATGACATTTTGGTCTCATATATATATATATGAAGTATGAAGCTTTAAGTATAAAAAGGTCATTTATTTATGAAGAGTCCACTGTGGTAACTTCACTCTCCTTTACCCACGAGATGGCGAGCAAATGCAGTATTTCAGTTCAGGTAGAAGTTAAGCCTTGGGAGACAGGCTTCCTACTTGCTCCTACTTCTAGACCTTTTTTGCAGTCTCCCTTCTAGAATCACAATGCTATGAACATAATCATAACAACAGTAAACGTATAGTTTTGTTCGAATTTGAAGTACTTGCTGTTTTTTTCTGGGAGATACCTGAAGCCTTTCTTACCGTAACTAAATCATAGACTGGCCTAGGCTGGAAGGGACCTTAGAGATCATCTAATCCAACCTCCCTGCCATGGGCAGGGACACCTCTCAACTAGATCAGGTTATTCAAGGCTCTGTCCAACTTGGCCTTAAACACTTCAAGGGAGGAGGCAGCCACACCTTCAAGGGGAGAAGCCAGCCACAACTTCCCTGGACAATTTATTCCAGAGTCTTGCCACCCTCGTAGTTTTTCTTAAGATCTAATCTAAATCTGTTTTCCTTTAACCTAGATCCATTTCCCCTTCTCCTGTTGTTGGACACTCTTGTAAATAGATCCTCCCTAGCCTTCCTGTAGGTTCCCTTCAGGTATTGGAAGGCAGCTATTAGGTCCCCCTGAAGTCTTCTCTTTTCAAGACTGAACAATCCCAGCTCCCTCAGCCCATCCTCATAGCAGAGGTGCTCCAGCCCCTAGATCGTCTTTGTGTCCCTCCTCTGAACATGCTCCAACAGATCTATGTCTGTTTTATGTTGGGGACACCAGAACTGGACGCAGTATTCAAGGTGGGGTCTCACAAGAGCAGAGGACTCCAGGATTTTTCCTGTTCTGGAGAAGACAGATTTTTGCCTCAAACTTTTCCGCTCCAGCACCAGACTTAGTTTTTGGTTTAATTCCAGTGAGGTATCTCCACAGGGCTTAATGACTG